TCTAACCTGTATCCTTGCCTGTGTTCGATCGGATTCGGTTCGGCTCGCCCTCCAACTGCTCTCTAGGCGTCTTTTCCGGCGCTTCATCTCTCTCAGCTCCTCGGTAAACCAGGGAGCCAATTGAGATCTGCGCCGGGTCAGAGGCCGCAAAGGCACGACTCGGTCCAATGCTGCGGCAGCGGCCTCTTCCCAGGCCGCCACCTGCCTTTCAACCGAATCGTGAGCTAGGTCCGCTGGATATGGCCCAAGCTCCGTCTGGAACCTCTCTGGGTCCATCAGGCGCCTGGGGCGGAACCATCTAAGCTGAATCACATTCCTGTGCCACTATGTTATGAAGGCGATTTATGCCCCTCTTGGCAATTTTTGTTATGAATCAGCAACGTTGAGGTTTGCCATACATGCATTCATTGTTAAAAACAGCAACCAAGCCACCATTTCCCTCTTTCCCATATCTAAGCTCCATTTTTATGTCTGTGTTTGCCTTGTCCCATGATATCTAGTGGGGTTACATGTCAGCAAGCACAATATATTTAGAAATCCACAATACAGTACTTTAAACCATTCATCTTAAAATTTAAACCGAGTAGACTAAACAATTTGGGGTAGGGTCTTAAGGTCTTTATCTATCAGGACAATAAATGTCTTTTTCAGCTGCCAATTAGATTACCAGAGCACTAAACATTTCTAGCCAGTTTTTTTTCCCCAATCTCCGATGATTGCTTGGGGGTGTAATCAATGATGCAGTGGCGTCGCCAGGAATAAGTCAATATTTTTGGCCCATTTCTTGAAATCCCTGGGGTTAACGTGTAAAGCATTTTGTAGTTTGGGGATCCAGAAGTCCATTCACTGCACTGCCCAGAATTGGCAGCCCATCCTAACATGTGCAATGGGCTGCAGACAAGGAGCTGGAGAAAAACTATTTTTGGAATCCAGCACTAAAGGCAATTCTGTGTCGGCTTGTTGTGACCTTGTCAAGACTGTTACTTTTGCTTTACAGCTATTGTCTTCTGATGGATTTCTATGTGTAAATTCCAGAAGTTTCAGATTAGGAAGGAAGGAAGGAAGGAAGGAAGGAAGGAAGGAAGGAAGGAAGGAAGGAAGGAAGGAAGGAACTAAGTTGACCCTGCTCAGATGTTTTGAATAACCACTTCCATCATCCCCGGCCAAACAGCAAAGGATTAATAAATTAGGATCAAAAACTTCAGAAGGGCCCCAGATTGAGATTAAATGTGTCGATGGAGCTAAATGAGAAGACATCCTTGGCTTCTCTGTTAATTTGCATTCATCTACTTTTCTGAGAGATGAACTACTGTTCTGAAGGCCTAACCACCAAAGTAATATGGACTAGCAACTTCTTTTTCTGCCGCTTTCCCATATTATTGCCTTCATCTTGCCTCGGCTCATGAGTGAAGCAGGCTTAAGTTGTCCTTAACAATGCTGGTTGCAATGTTTTGCAATGCAAAATCGCAAAGCAATGTTTTCTCTCTTATTCTGACACCCCACCCTACCCCAAGGACAGCCTTGAGATATGTGTAAGAACTATTATGTTTTGTCCACCATTATCTTGAAGGAAAATCAGAAGATTATAAAGGCTGGGAACAGAAGAATCAACCACAATTTCATGCTGGTGGGTTTGTTTGTTTGTTTTTTGCTGACTCAAGGCCAGATGGAAAGCAGTGGGCGAAGACCCTAAAACACACAGTGAGAACCACCCCCCCCCCAGTGTCATGCTTTCCTGATACACAGAGACTACAATTTCCAGAATTCCCAGCTAGACTACACCATGGCTATCCTGGAGGGTGACAGTGGAAGTTCCCATTCCCATGAATCTGGATGGCACCCGGTTGAGGGAATTAGAATTCTTTTAGGAATTTGCTTTTAAATATTATTAAAATATTTTACCAGCTCAGCCTGGCAGGAGTTCCAGTGCCCTTCCGTCGTTGTGAGGTTGTGCTTCACAATTCCCAGTTGCTCCTGTAACCGGGACCTTTCCTGTTCTGTCTCCTCCAAAAGCCGTATCTTTTCTCCTAAAGTCTGGTTAGTGGTGGCCAAGGTAGACTTGAGGTCTTTGTTTTCCCTTTTCTTCATCTCCAGAAGACGTTCCGTTGCAATCAGGGTCTGATTGCTAGACAGCAGTTGTATCCACACGGCATCCTTTTCCCGGGATTTGCTTTCCAGAGCTTGGTGGGCAATTGTCTTTTCGTGGCGTTCCTGCGTGTACAAAATCAGGAAAACAACGAAGCAAAACAGGAAAAGGACAGTGGCGATTCCCAGGCAAAGGGCGCACGCCTTCCCAACCTTTCCTTTTGCAGATAGGAGTGGGATGTCTCGCCCACCCATGGCAGCTGAAGATTTCTTGGAAACCAGCAAAGCCACTGACTGCCCTTGCAACTCCACTGCCCTGGAGACTGGTTGCAACTGTGTGCTTCGGAAGGACCCTCCTCTCCCAAGTGCTTACCTCATCGGGGCTTCCTTTCCAAGAGTTTCAGGATCTGGCAGAAAGGTCAAAAGCACAGAGCAGCGGGTATTTTATACTGAAAGCTCCCTGCTCATACTTTTGCTGGGTCCTCACTTGCATTTAATGAACTGTCTCTTTTTTTTTCCAGTCTGGCCCTGTCTCAGGTCAAGCCCAGGAGAGGGACAGGACTTAGGACACCCTTAGCTGCTCCCCCCCCAAAAAAAAATTGTTCTCCCTAATGCTATCCAAAGACATCCTCCAGGTGTGCAAAATGTGTTGGGCTTTGTCACAGGGTGGGGTGGGGCGGCAAATCAGAGACTGCAGTGATTGGGAAGAGGAGGAAGAGAAGCAGGAGAGGATTGGCAGCAGACATGGAGAACTTCATGCCTTTCTTTCTTTCTTTCTTCTTTCTTTCTTTCTTTCTTTCTTTCTTTTAGGACTTCATGCCTTTCTTTCTTTCTTTCTTTCTTTCTTTCTTTCTTTCTTTTAGGACTTCATGCCTTTCTTTCTTTCTTTCTTTCTTTCTTTCTTTTAGGACTTCATGCCTTTCTTTCTTTCTTTCTTTCTTTATTTATTTATTTATTTATTTTAGAACTTCATGCCTTTCTTTCTTTCTTTTTTTCTTTCTTTCTTTCTTTCTTTCTTTCTTTATTTCTTTATTTCTTTATTTCTTTATTTATTTATTTATTTATTTATTTATTTATTTATTTATTTATTTATTTATTTATTTATTTATTTATTTATTTATTTATTTATTTATTTATTTCTTTTAGAACTTCCTTCCTTGCTTCCTTCCTTCCTTTCTTCCTTTCTGCATGCCAGTTTGGACTTTGGGCCAATCACCTGGAACCCGTGAGTCCTAAGTCCCGCCTTAGGTATGAAAGCCAGCTGGGTGACACTGGGCCACCCACTCCCTCTCAGGTCCAACTCATCTCACAGACTTGTTGTGGGGAAAATAGAAGGAACAAGGAGTATTTGGAATATTCTCCACCATGAGTTATTTATAAACAATAATAAAGATGGGATTAAATGTCAAATAAATAAATAGAATTTATATGCCACCCGTCTCACTATTTTCTGTACTGTATTGTTTTCTGCCTACTCAAGGATGGGTGGGGAGAGCCCCCACCGTCTCAGGGAGAGCCCCATTGATAAGCAAGAGGTCTCCCTTGGGAAGCCTGATCAGGGTCACCCACTGGGGGAATTAAAAATAAAAATAAAATTAAAATGGTGGCTGTGAATTCTCAATTGAGGCTTTCCTTTCTAGATGTGCTGTAAACAAAACAAATGTAAAAAGGTTACATTTGTGAGCTCATAGATTCCATCTTAGGTTTTTTGACCACCTCGGATGGCCTCAGGTCTGAACCACACAGCACAGCTACTTATGGCCACAATTGGGACCATAATTTCTATTGCTAAGCAAGACAATTGTTACGTGAGTTGCACTTTTAGGACCTTTTGTGCCATGGTTGTTAAGCAAATCACTGCAGTTGTTAAGTGAATCATTCATTCGTTAAGTGAATCCAGCTCTCTGCCTTGACTTTGCTTGTCATAAGCCGACTGGGAAGGTTGCAAATGGCAGTCATGTGACCCAAGGACACTGCAACCATCATATATACATGCCAGTTGCCAAACTTCTTAATTTTGATCAGGCGATCATGGGGATGCTGCGACAGTTGTAAGCATGAGGAACAGTTGTAAGTCAGTTTTTCAGTGCGGTTGTAAAATCAAACAGTTGCTAAAGAATGGTTGTAAATCAAGAATTACCTGTAGTTACTTGTTTCTCTTTTTTTGTCTGTTGTTGGCCACTCACTTAAAAAAAAATAAGCCACAGGCAACAAATATTCAGTTTGTGTTTTAATTTTAATTTATCCAATTTAGACTTCTGGCACCTGAATGTAAATCAAAGCACAGTTAATTTGTTATCTGTGATTTTTCTGTTTTGGGAATGGTTTATACATGTACTCCCAAGTAGTCATGGTCCTGAACCATATAAGACTCACAATGCAAGATCTATCTCTTACGTCAAAATTTGCAGCCCAACAGGGTAGACCAAGCCAGGAAATCAACTGCACAAATCAGGGTGCTCATAATATAAGCCCCACCCCCAAAATAAGCACCATTTAAGATCGTCAGCCAGATGAACACATAGTACCGTAGTACCATATTTCCCTGCAGTGGCGTAGCGTGGGTTGTCAGCACCCGGGGCAAGGCAAGTAATTTGCGCCCCCCCCTCCACAGTGGGCGGCGACCCGGCGGCTCAGATCGGATTCGCCCCCCCTCCACAGTGGGCAGCGACCCGGCGGCTCGGATCGGATTCGCCCCCCCCTCCACAGTGGGCGGCGACCCGGCGGCTCGGATCGGATTCGCCCGCCCTCCACAGTGGGCGGCGACCCGGCGGCTCGGATCGGATTCGCACAGCCAGCACTGCAGAGAGAGTGAGTGAGCCAGGCAGGGGCAGAGAGCTGCGAGTGCGAGCGCGCCCCCCCAGATGTTGCGCCCGGTGCGGCCGGGGCCCCCTGCACCCCCCACGCTACGCCACTTTTTCCCTGAATATAAGCCCTAACCGTAAAATAAATCCTAATGCATCTTTTGGAGCAGAAATTAATACAATACCCAGTCTTATTTTCGGAGAAACATGGTACATCTACAGTAATGCAGATAATTGCTTTAGTTTGGCAAGATTCTGTCTGTAGACCAATAATAAAAGAAATTACTTAGAAGTAACTCCATGTGTCATTCTTGGTTCTCTGGACCTCAGAGTCTATGCATTTGTAGGAACAGTATAGAATCCTCTATGGAGTCAGTTCTGCCACTAATGGATTAGACCCCCATCCTATCTGAATGGTGAGAGCTACCTGGGACATAATGGGAGGTTGGGCATGGGCATTAATGGATCTTTGGAAGAGCTGCCTTAAAAGAAGAGATGATGTTCCCCTTCTCAAAAAGCTTTCACTTAATCTGGTGAGTTTGGACAACTGTTGGCCTGTGTCTGAGTTTTTGTGGTGAGAAACAGCAGTTGCAGAGATCTCTGGATGAAAAGTTATCTGGGACCTGGTCAGTTGGGTTTCACGGCTGGGTATGGGAATTAAGATGACATGGATTGTTGTTATGGATGACCTGGGAATTTGGAAGCCAATAGATTCTGGAATAATAATAATAATAATAATAATAATAACAACAACAACAACAACAACATCATCATCATCATCATCAACAACAACAACATCAATAATAATAATAATAAAGTTGGAAGGGACCTTGGAGGTCATCTAGTCCAACCCCCTGCTCAGGCAGGAAACCCTATACCATTTCAGACAAATGGCTGTCCAGTTTCTTCTTAAAAACTTCCAGTGTTGGAGCATTCACCACTTCTGGAGGCAGGTTGTTCCACTGGCTAATTGTTCTAACTGTCAGGAAGTTTCTCCTTAGTTCTAGGTTGCTTCTCTCCTTGATTAGGTTCCATCTGTTGCTTCTTGTCCTGCCTTCAGGCGCTTTGAAGAATAGCTTGACTCCCTCTTCTTAAGATATTGTCCCCCCTCGTCCTTCTCTTCATTAAACTAGACATAATCCATTTATGGTTTTGGATGCAGGTGTGTTCTCCAATGTGGACTAATCTGCCCTGAGTCCTATTAACTCCAAGCTCCAGCTTGAAGAACAGGTGGCAGCTATGACCAAGATGATCTTTGTAAACTCCATTGTAGAATAGAATAGAATAGAATAGAATAGAATAGAATAGAATAGAATAGAATAGAAAATAGAGCTGGAAGGGACCTTGGAGGTCTTCTAGTCCAGCCCCCTGCTCAAGCAGGAGAACCTATACCATCTCAGACAAGTGACTGTCTAGCCTCTTTTTAAAAACCTCCAGTGATGGAGCATCCACGATTTCTGGAGGCAAGCTGTTCCACTGGTTAATTGGCCTCACTGTCAGGAAGTTTCTCCTTAATTCCAGGTTGCTTCTCTCTTTGGTCAGTTTCCAACCATTGTTTCTTGTGTGCACTGGTTGGATATGTTTCTGAAACAGAAGGCATTTTTGATGGTCATGCATATCCTTCTCATCTCACTCTTGGTTTATTGTAACTTGTTCTGCATGGGGCTGTTCTTGAAGACTGTTTGAAAGCTGAAGCTGATCCAGAAGCATATGTAGAAATGACCTTGACTCACTTTGCCACCTCTGCTTTGGGAACCATACTACTTACCATACCATTAGGCTGCTGAGTTCAATTCAAAATGTTGAGTTCTACCTTTAAATCCCATTATGGGATTTCATGTAAAGCTTACAATCTAGATAGCTCCAAGACTGTCCATCCCTTGTGGAATCTGCCTGATGATGATCCGTTCAGTCTTATCCTATTCTTGGCGATTCTCTGAGCCAGGTCTCCCCACTGTTGTGCAGGATCCGAGGTGTTGCTTGATAAAGAAATGCAGGAAACCCAAAGTTGCCTTTTAAGCTTTACATTTTTATTCAGCTGAACAAAGACGGGCCCCTCTAAAAGAGAGGAAGCCCCAAATGACAAGAAATCCTTATATTTATACTTTTTGATTCACCCAGCAAAGCTGGCACACATAAGATTAAGAATTCACCCAGAAAGTCTAGCACAGCATAGATAAGGTAAGAGGAAGCAGAAATAGCTAAAGATGTTCTTTTTGTGTGTTTCCCTAAAGACACTGCATGTTCTCGGGTGACTTGGGACATTGGGTGTTTCCCTGGGGTGACCTTCCATGACTCTGCAAGTACCCAGAGATAGCGGGGCCATCCGCACGTATTCACAATCCATGCTTTCTCCTGATTCTGGGTCAACACCATATCTTCCACTCTTGCACTACTTCTTTGAGTTTTTCTATACTTTGGCTGGTGTCAGCTTTGATGGTGTCCAGCCATCATGTTCTTTGGCGGTCTGGTTTCCTTTTAAGGAATCTGCCTAGCCAGTGTGATTCAGGAAGGCAGATGTGCTACAAGTCCCTACTTTAAGGAAATAACAACACCCAGGATTTGGGGCTGAACTCTTTTGGTGATGGTGCCCTTCCTCTGGACACCATCTTCTTGGTAAAATGAGGACCCAGATTGTTGGGGGCAATATGCTGACATTTGTAAACCACTCATAAGTGCTGTAAAGCACTATGTCTAAGTCCTACTCAGTATTGCTATTGCTATCCATGTTAGTATGTTGGGAGGCTTCTGGAAGGCCTACACAGCGTGAGTACAATAGCTGCTCATGAGGTAATTGGTGCCATGTCATGTGATGAGAGGAACAATGTGGAGTTTTGTTGCGTTTTATAAGTTTTAACTCTAATACCATATGGACGAATTGTAAATTGTTAGTTTGACTTAAGGTAGCTTGACTGGAGCAGCATAAAGAATTAATTAAGCACACAATGGGTGAATTATGCATAAGCCCCATTGGATTGGGAAAAATACACCCTCCCTGCATGCTATTAATTATAATAACTGTAATTTAGAAATACAGCCACGGAAATGGGAAGAAATCGCTTTCACCAAAGGAAGGGTTCATATATCATTCTTAACCCTAAGAGAATGACAGTGTTCACAGAAGATGCTGTGCCCAAACAAATTAAACCATGTTCATAACGCTTAGCTCATGCTAAACATTGTCAGGATACCCAATCCAATTTTAGTATATGCTGTTATGTAGTCCATGAAGACACAAATGATTCAACTCTAGAATTCAAAGTTATTAAATATTTGGAAAAGGTTAAATAGAGATTTATTGTGGATAGTTCCTAGACAACAAGCATCTGCCTTCAAGGTGAGGACACAGTTATATAGATAAGTATGTATTGTGTTTTTATTTCACATGAAATATTAGTATATTATAGATAACAATAATAACAAGAACATCTGTGCATTGACAAAATTTCCATCTGTCAATTACAAAAAGCCACAATGCTTTGATCCACATGTATGTTATGCCAATACATTACGACTTTTTGATCTTGAGAAGAACTCCATGTGCCAGATAAAGAACTGGCAACTGTGATTTCATATTATTGTGTTTATAATCATAGTAATAGAAAACGAAGAAGCTAAAGTGCTTTGGGACTTAAGAATTCAAACAGGCACCTGCCACATAACATCCCAGAGTTAACAATTGTTGATAAGAAAAACAAAAAAGTGGATGTGGCAGTACTTGGAGATAGCAGAATAGAAGATAAAGAACTGGAGAAGATAACAAAATACAAAGACCTGCAAATGGAAATAGAGAAACTGTGGCAAAAGAAAGCAAAGGCAATACTATTAGCAATAGGCACTTTGGCTTAATCCCGAAACACTTGGAGCACCATTAAAGGAGAATATTTGTAGTTCAGGGTTGAAATGAGGGGTCCTTGGTGCTCTCTGAGTTCGGCTGGAGCACCATTTGAACGGCATTGGCATTGACAAAATCACCATCGGTCAATTGCAAAAGACAGCTTTTCTCAGAACATCTTACATCCTGCGACAATCAGGATGTAACACCATCAGACATCCACATCTGCCTATCCCAAATCCTTGAGAAGGACTTGATAGGTGGATAAAAATGCCAAATACAGTCCAAACATCTGGCTGACTGTGTGACCAACCATAATACATTTAAAGTACAACTTTAAAATAGTTAGGAAATATTTTATTTTTTAAAAAAAACATAAATATATCTCTGTCGGGAAACAAATCCAGTACTTGACAAAGACATTTATTTTTCAAATGATCAAATAAGAAGGAGTAGTGGTTTCTTTCCCACAAGCAGTACTTCGTTTTCAAGCTGCAGCAGTGTCCGTAGTTTACCCCAGGACTTTCTTGAATGGCAATGCTAACACTCTTATCTGCAACATGTGACATAGCAGATGAGAAGGCCCAAAATCACAAACGCCCATACCGCATTGGATCCATAATATTCTAAGGTATTTTGTGTGGAACTATCTTTCTGCCGCGGCCACGCAATCTGGTCATTTAGCTCTCCGATTCTGTGCTGGTATGCCTCTCTAGAAGAGAAAAAATGGGTTCAGAGACAAGGCACTGATTATGTCACTGCAGTCACCATCTTGACATTTTTGATCCAACTCCATAAATACTCCTGAAAGAGTTCATTAGAGTCTATTGATTGGACCATATAGTTGCCTAGAGATAATAGGACTCTGAACAAAAGATTTCCGTCCATGCTCTTATCATAGGTGTTCCTGGACCGTAGGATAGTTTCCATCTCTTATACCACTTTGTTTTATTTTATGTTACTTATTAAGCTTTTGATAATAGCACAGGAAATAATGGAAGAATGAAAACTTTCACAGTTGCAGGAACTGAGTATGTCTAGTTTAATGAAAAGAAGGATTGGGGTGATATGATAGCAATGTTCCAATATCGGAGGGTTTGCCACAAAGAAGAGGGGTCAACCTGTTCTCTAAAGCTCCAGAAGAAAGGACAAGAAACAATGGATGGAAACTTATCAGAGAGAGATCCAACCTAAAACTAAGGAGAAATTTCCTGTCAGTTAGAACAATTAAGCAGTGGAACCACCTGCCTCCAGAGGTTGTAAGTGCTCTATCACTGGAAGTTTTTTAGAAGAGATTGGTCAGCCATTTTGTCTGAAATGGTATGTGTTTCTCAGCCTTGACCATTTTAAGGCATGTGGACTTCAACTCCCAGAATTCCACAGCCAGCAACGCTGGCTGTGGAATTCTGGGAGTTGAAGTCCACATGCCTTAAAATTGTCAAGGTTGAGAAACACTGGTAGGGTCTCCTGCTTGAAAAGGGGTTGGACTAGAAGACCTCCAAGGTCCTTTACAACTCTGGTACTTTATTATTGTTCTATTATTATCTCAGTGTAATGTGTCTGCTTATATGAAAAAAAAGAACTATAAAAATTCTCAAAGAGGAATGTCTTGACTTTGGGGTCTCCAACAGGGTGTCCAGACAAGATTGTGAATTCCTGTGGAGACAACTTTGGAAAAACTGTTAAAGAAACAGTTAAAGAAACATGGAAACGGATCCTCAGGAAGAAACTCAAATTGTTTCTCTGAATTCAGTGAGAATATACAGTAAGAGGAGGGAAAGGAAAATATTGTCAGGCTCTGAAGATTCTGTTGTGATAACTTTCCCTGATAAATGCTTTCCAGCATTCCTGTGGAATTTCCTTCCTGACTTGCCTCTTTTAAGGGCTGATAGCTGTTAATTTTGTTTGTTTCTTTTCAGTTTGTCATTATGGCAGCCGTTCTGTAAATAGATGATCCTGTTCTCAATCAACAGATCAGAGGATCAGAAAAGAGAGGAGGCTTCAGCTGTAAGTGAGTCCCCTGCAGACACCTCTATTTGCAATGGTCTAAAGCAGAGGTCCCCAACCTTTTGGGCACCAGGGACCGGTTCCGTGGAGAGAGGTATTTCCACGGACTGGAGGGTGTGTGGTTTTGTGTGCTGCCTGCATCTAGCGCAGTGGTTCTCAACCTTTTTAATGCCGCAACCCCAACCGGTCGTAAGTCGAGTGTTGGAATATAGCATAAGTTACTCCATTTTGTAACCTTCAGCAAGCTTAATAGTGCTTACGTGTTAGGCTGGAATCTGCAGCTGCAAACACGTAAGAACAGAGAACAAAGAGACAAGTCAAAAGAACTGTCTATGCAAGCTATAATATTATCACTTCCTGATAAGACCTTCCAATGTGAACCACAATGGCAACTTTTACTGTGAACTGTTAGTTGTATAAGCCATGTAATAGATAAGATACATTCTGTAAAACTTTCGCTGTCTCTAACCTCCAAAACTCCCTGTTTGCCTCCCCCGGTTCACCCCCCTGCTTGTAGCTTTTGCCTGCAATTTGCTTTGTGATGATTGCTAATAAAAGAGGTCCCCAGAGACTGTTCTGGGCTGATCTCATCCCGAGGAAACCTGGTATGGTGTCTTCATATGACAACTCATGAATCAGCCCCCGGACGAGGTCTGAAACCAAGCCGGGAGACTCAGGTCCCGGTTTTTTACAACTGGTGACCCCGACATGATTCCTTGCGAGGGATACGTCCTTGGACCATCCATTCTTACCGTCTGGAATAGACTTGGTGCACCGCGTCCATTCCTTTTGGCAAAAAGGAGGATTTTTCGTAAGTATGGGTGGAAACTTTCTAAGGCTCAGGAGATGCATATACGCGAGCTTAGAGAAGTAACCAAGACAAACTTCTTTCTTTTTAACAAATATGGCTTAGATGCTTCAGAAGGGCAACAATTACCAGCCCCCCTTCTGATTACAACCAAGTAAAACTTCTCCCTCCTAAAGCTTCTTTAATTGGATTTCCAGTTTCTTCTGAAAAGGCTAATTCTTTTGCTTCTTCTCAAACCTCATACACCCCCACACAGAAAATATTAGAGAAACTATCTTGAAGTGGAAACAATAAGGGGAATCTTCAGAGTAATTTAAAGACATAAATTAACTCAAAATGCACTCCTCTGCATTGCATTTTGAACAAATAGGAATGTTTTGAAACTTCATGTAGCTGTTAAGTTTAACCCTGTCAGACAATGTCTGGTGGTGCTTTGTGTCAATGTGTAATGTGTAATGTGTTTTGTGTTTATATATATATATATATATATATATATATATATATATATATATATATATATATATATATATATATATATATATATATATATATATATATATATATATATATATATATGTATATATATATATATATGTGTGTGTGTGTGTGTGTGTGTGTGTGGCCACCCAGAACATTATGCTTGGGCTTTGAATGGTGAAAAAAATAGGAGATGATATAAAGGGCCCTATATAAAAACCACATGTTTGGTTGAAATCAGCTCTTTATTTTTCTCGACAAGTCATATGTTTAAATAAATGTTGTTTTAACAGTATTTGTGTATATATGTTTGTCTATGTTGTTCTGTGATATTTCAAAGACTTGGAAGAGGGTCTAACCCTCTCTGATAACAACAATATAAAAAGGCCTTATTTAAAAGTATATGGTTTGCCTGGAGAATGTATGAAATGAAATATTTGTATGTGGAATTATTTATGCAAGCAGTTAGAATGGAAGTGAATGAGTTCATTTGGTGATACCTAAGTGTGTGTGTTAGCCCTCAAGCCCCACCCCCCACCCACTCTCTCCCAGGCTGTGAAAGAAATAATGAACTGTAGATTTTATTGTTGTAAAAGTAAATTGAAAAGCAATAGTAAGTGTTTGCATGAGAAGAATCCCATGGAGAATGTGTGAGAGAATTTATTCATGTGAAGGAGAGAAAACTAATTTTTAGTGGTGAAAAGTTTGTAACAAAAATTTTTCCTGTCTCTTTTGTTTTTCAACTGGCTGTGTTGCTTTAAGAGCAAGAAAGACAGAAAGAAGAGGGGGGTGGCTGTTCGTTTTAAACTTTTTTTCCTCTCTGCTTAGAATTCCGGTTTGCAAATGGAGATGAAATTTAACACCACTCTTGCAGTTTCAGATTACAAATTTTTACTTGAAAGAGGAGACAGTAATTATTGGACAAATTTTTTGGGGAAAAATTGTTGAGTTTAAATTGTTTAGTTAGACCTATATATCCATCAACCAAAAGAAATGACTCGTTTTACTTAAGATTTCTAAATGTTTAACCTACTTAACAGA